AAAAAAAAAACTACCAATACAGGCAGTCCTCAACTTATGACCATAACTGAGCCCAAAATTTCTGTCGTTAAGTGGGACATTTGTTAAGTGAATTTTGCCCCATATTACAACCATTCTTGCCGCACTTGTTAAGTGAATCGCTGCAGTTGATAAGTTACTAACCCGGTTGTTAAGTGAATCTGGCTACCCCATTGACTTTGCTTAGTGCAAGGGTAGGCAGCCTTGGCTCTTGTATGATTCGTGGACTTCAACTCCCAGAATTCCTGAGCCAGCATGGCTCAGCTTGGAAACCTTTCCCTTTCCCCTCAGCATGGCTGGCTCAGGAATTCTGGGAGTTGAAGTCCACGAGTCATAAAAGAGCCAAGGTTGCCTACCCCTGGCTTAGCGGAAGGTCGCAAAAGGTGATCACATGACCTTGGGACAATGCAATGGTTATAAATATGAACCAGTTGCCAAGCGTCTGAATTTTGATCACATGGTCATGGGGATGCTACAAAGGTCGTATCTCTGAAAAACAGTCATGTCACTTTTTTCAGTGCTGTCGTAACTTTGAACAGTCACTAAATGAACCGTTGTAAATCAAGGACTACCTATAGCCCTCGACCTATGACCACAATTGAACCTAAAATTTCTGTTCTTAAGTGAGACATTTGTTAAGTGAATTTTGTCCTGTTTTACGACCTTTCATGCCACAGTGATTAAGAAAATCACTCCAGTTGTTAAGTTAATGACACGGTTGTTAAGTGAATCTGGCTTTCCCATTGACTTTGTTTGTTGGAAGGACAGAAAGGGGGATCCCATGACCCTGGGGCACTGCAACCGTCATAAATATAAACCGTTATAAATATGAGTCAGTTGCCAGGTGCCTGAATTTTGATCACATAACCACAGGGATGGTATAATGCTCATTAGGATGAAAACGGTCATAAGTCCCTTTTTTCAGTGCCGTTGTAACTTTGAACAGTCTTTAAATAAGCTGTTGTAAGTCGAGGACTACAAAACTAGACAAAATCACAGCTGTTTGAGTCAAGGGACATCTACCCACCCCAGAATTCATGGGTTTCAGACCTGATCTGATGACCTCCAAGTCTTTCGGGCTTCAATTCCTGTACAGATAGTCTTCAATTTCCACCAGAATTTTCATGGCTAAGCAAGGCAGTTGTCATCTGAATCATTTTACATCACCACGATGTAAAAAAGATGCTGAGACTCTAGAAAGAGTACAGAGAAGAGCAACAAAGATGATCAGGGGACTGGAGGCTAAAACATATAAGGAACGGTTGCTGGAATTGGGTATGGCTGGCTGGGGAATTCTGGGAATTGAAGTCCACCAGTCTTAAAGTGGCCAAGTTTGAGGACCCCTGACCTACCACTACTATTAATAGAATGCCTAATTCGATCTCTGTTGTTGGCCGCTAACTTGTGGAGAAATACGCCTGGGCCAGTTGTTTGGATGGGGGCCCAATCCATTTTGCCTGGAAGATAATTCTCATGCAGCCACGCCAGGATTAGCCTTATCTAAGCATTTCCATCTCACCGCAGAGCTGAACAGCTGCGAAGTTGAAAGACTGCCAGAGAGTTCCCAGCATATATAGACCATATTTCTGTTTAAATCCTTCCGTCTTTCTTCCAGTCCTTGCCAATTCAGAAGGCCGTTTACAAAGTGCTTAATGCGGTATGTTGGGGCGAAGTGACCTCTCTTGATTTCTCTGCAGCAGGTTGACAGTTTAAAATCCCCGTTGGTGAAGAGCGAACCGGCAGCGGCCCCATGTGGCACCACAATGCATTTTCCCAAGTGCACGTGGCCCGCGGTGGAAGCTGTGGTTTGACAGCCTCAGTCAGTTTTAGGGATGGAATAGAATAGAATAGAATAGAATAGAATAGAATAGAATAGAATAGAATAGAATAGAATAGAATAGGACACACTTGGAATCCTGCATCGAGTTTTGGTCACCACGAAGTAAAAAAGATGTTGAGACTCTAGAAAGAGTACAGAGAAGAGCAACAAAGATGATTAGGGGACTGGAGGCTAAAACATACAAGGAAAAGCTGCTGGAATTGGGTATGTCTAGTTTAATGAAGAGAAGGACGAGGGGGGACAAGATAGCAGTGTTCCAATATCTCAGGGGCTTCCACAAAGAAGAGGGGATCAACCCATTCTCCAAAGCGCCTGAAGGCAGGACAAGAAGCAACAGGTGGAAACTGACCAAAGAGAGAAGCAACCTAGAACTAAGGAGAAACTTCCTGACAAGTTAGAACAATTAACCAGTGGAACAACCTGCCTCCAGAAGCTGTGAATGCTCCAACACTGGAAGTTTTTAAGAAGAGACTGGACAGCCATTGGTCTGAAATGGTATAGGGTTTCCTGCCTGAGCAGGGGGTTGGACTAGATGACCTCCAAGGTCCCTTCCAACTTTATTATTATTATTATAGGGATGGAATAGAATAGAATAGAATAGAATATAGGGATGGAATACAATAGAATATAGGAATAGAATAGAATCTGGAAGGGACCTTGGAGGTCTTCTAGTCCAGCCCCCTGCTCAAGCAGGAGAACCTATACCATTTCAGACAAGTGACTGCCCAGTCTCTTCTTAAAAATCTTCAGTAATGGAGCACCCACGATTTCTGGAGGCAAGCTGTTCCACTGGTTAATCGTCCTCACTCTTAGGAACTTTCTCAATTCCAGGTTGCTTTTCTCTTTGATCAGTTTCCAACCATTGTTTCTCGCCCTTCCCTCTGGGGCTTTGGAGAATAATTTGACCCCCTCCTCTTTGTGGCAGCCCCTCAAATACTGCTGTCATGTCGCCCCTATTTCTTCTTTAGACTACCCAAACTCAAGTCCCACAGCCGTTCTTCATATGTTTTAGTCTCCAGACCTTTGAGCATTTTAGTTGCTCTTCTCTGAACGTTTTCCAAAGTCTCAACATATAGTATGGTGACCAAAATTGCTTGCAGTATTTCAGGTGTGGTCTCACTAGGGTTTTATAAAGCGGTACTAATACTTTGCATGATCTTGATTCTATGCCTCTGTTTATACAGCCCAATTCTGTGCAGGACCCACCAAGAAGCAATGGGAGACAGCTGTTGTGTCACAAAAAGCACAGGAATTGGAAGAAAAGGAGAGTTTTCCAAATGTGGACATTCCTAACCCGACGGATCCTATAAATCTCAATTAAGCTGCTGCTTCTGGCCATGATTTGGAAATAAGTGCAAATTCTTTGCTGGCAAAAAAAGACCAAAAACTTTTTAGAAAGTATACAGTAACTTTTTAAAAAACAGCAAGTAGTTATTTACGAATACCGGTAGTCCTCGACTTAACAAAAGTTCATTTAGTGATTGTTCAAAGTTACAAGGGCACGCTGGCTGAAGAATTCTGGGAGTTGAAGTCCACAAGTCATAAAAGGGCCAAGTTTGAAGACCCCTGCTCTAATTTATCAAGAAATGCAAAGGCTCTTTTGTTAATACACTAAATACACCTGGTTTCTGAGATGATTATTTTTAATCAAGTATTTAATTGATTTTTCTTGCTCTAGGTCAAGGGTGTCAAACTGCCGGCCCGCAGGCCGGTTTCATCATATGGAAGCCACGCCCACCCCATTGCCGGCAATGGAAAAAGTCATGATACGTCACGTGACGTGGCAAGTCTGATACCCCTGCTCTAGGTCTAATATTAATCCATGCTTTTGCAACTGATACATCATACTTTTAAGAGGACTTTGTGCAGATAGTAAAACCAGTTTTAATGGCAACAGTGAATAGAAAGAAAATTTACGGCTCCACAGGAGGTAAGTGAACACTGTTGCTGTGTGATACAGCAATTTTATGCACAGACCAGTTGCTGGGGCTACAGGACTGGGAGAGAACTATGACTGCAGCTCTGGTCTGAACACACTTTATTCCATAAATGTCTCAGCCAACAATGTTTGAGACTTCAATATAGAACATATTTTGGAAATATGAGCACAAAACATCCCTCATTTATTTTTAAAGTTCTGCAATCTTAGCGTTTTTAAAAGGAAAAGCAGCAAAAATCCAGCTTGGATCCTAGGAATTATATTGACAAACGATTAAGATGTATTTATATGATTAATGATACAGAAATGCAGTATTTGCGATCTTTATTTCATGAAAAAAGTTTCCAAGATGATCAAACATTGTACATCTTTGGAGGCTAAAAACTTGGACTGACTCTACCTAAAGACACCATTGTAAGAATAAATCTATTTCAGCGGACTACAGAATTTGATGCTTTGCACTTTTAAAACGTGAAATGGTAAAGAGAGCAATAAGTTAAACCACAGCTCCTTTCCAGTACATATTGCTTTGAGAATACAAAATGGGTCCAAGTGTTTAAAAAGAACAACTCCAAGCTTAAGTGTAATATTTAGCAATACGTTAAAATAGATAAAACATGAAGCAAGAAAGCAGCTAAATACAAATTGGCTGTAGACAGTTATATATCTTGGGCCAGGGTTATCCAACCTTGCAACTTTAAGACCTGTGGACTTCAACTCCCAGAATTCCCCAGCCAGCCATGTCCACAGGTCTTAAAGTTGCAAGATTGGTCACCTCTGCCTTAGCTTAGACCAGGGGTCTTCAAACCTGGCCCTTTTATGATTTGTGGACTTCAACTCCCAGAATTCCTCAGCCAGGAACGCTGGCTGAGGAATTCTGGGAGTTGAAGTCCACGAGTCATAAAAGGGCCAAGTTTGAAGACCCCTGGCTTAGACCAATCCAAGTTAGAGAACATTAAAAAAAAAAGCAATGTGGGAATGATTAAATAATCCTAATTTAGGTAATTCTGTTTGGCACCCCTGTAACTTTTGATGCGTAGCTTGGCATGGCTTTCCAAATGAAGGAAAAAGCAAGTTTGAATTAAAGGAGAAGTTATAAATGCTTTTACTTTTGCCATTTTATTCTACAGAAGGAAGTTAATAGACTATCCTAGAAAACGAGTGGGGGGGGGATTACCTGGAGAACAGTTGGATTCAGGATAAAAAATATATAATCACTTGACACAAGCAGCGCTAAACCACCACAATGCAAGTTGTGTTCCTTTTGAACAATGTATGCAACATGACAACACTTATAGAAAAGAATGACTGGCTGCTTTCATCGCTTACCCGACACTTGTATCCGCGCTCCAGGGAAATGCTTCTGCTTTAAAATGATCTGTTTCTGATTATCTATAATTCATCTATGACAGCCTTTTGCTAACTTACATCAAGCTACAAAAAAATTGTTTCACTGTTACTTAATGATACAATTGTGGGTCAAATGCAAGCTTGGAAACCTTTTTATCTCCAGCTTATAAGTGGGGAGTTGCTGCCCTATATCAACCCACAGGAATACAGATTAAAAATTAAAATAGAGATGATTCATTGTGTGATGAAATCTGACATATCCTCCGCTAATTGCAGAGACATCAATACATTTAGCGAAGTATTTCATTCATGCTATAAGAATGTGATGGATGTTCACAGAAGTCCCCTCTTCAGCAATTTTTGGCAACAAATGTTCATGCCCAGCAAAGTTTTCACCTAAGGAACCTGGACACACAGCAGACAGAAAATCAGATCCTAGCAATATTTAACCATACAATATAGTTGAACTTGGTTAAGCAAAATCAGCATTGGTAAAACAAATAAATGATCCAAATGCTGGGAACACTCAGCTTCAGTTAGATTTCTGGAAATGCTATAGTGTACTCAGAAATTCTTGGACCTGCAAAATAAAAGAGTGAAAATAGCAGTTTAATAGACAAGCTAAATAAAAGTGGGAGCCGAGATCTGAGAATATACTGAATATGCACACAGTTAAGGATCCATAGATAAGGTGACCAGAAAATTTATTTGATAAACCTTAATTTACCCTGGGTTTGTTAGATGAATCTGCTCTCAGAAGCACTAACGAGGGTATTTGCTTAATTAGTGGTGGCGTTTAAGGACATTATGCCAACTGGTATCTTAGGACAGTGTATGAACAAAAAGCAGTGTTTGTGAAACTTAGCAACTTTAAAATATGTGGACTTCAAATCCCAGAATTCCCCATGGAGATTTCAGTAGACACATTAAAGGAGAGAGGTCTTGATCATTAACAGAGTCACTTGGAAACATAAAAACTAGTACTCTCTGGTAGGTTTTACCTTCTCAATCATATTTTCATGCTTGTCTCTGTCGCCTTTGAAATCTTCATTTACATCCAGCGTTAGAACGGGTACCCCTTGCAAGTATTCAAACTCTGTTCTGTAAACAACAAAACTGCAATTTGAATTGGAAACCTAAGAAAGGTAGACAATTTCATTCAGAAATATGTAGAAATCTTATAACACCTGTTCTGAAGCAAGCCCCATTATACCTTGAATCATCATACCCTTTGCTAATATGTCTTTAAAAGCCAGAATTGTCGAGGCCCAGAATTCCTAATAACCACGTTAATTACGGTAATAAACAGTGATAAAACAGCTTTTAAAATTAGTCATGAAATCAGATATATTTTTAGAAATGGAAAGCCTCTAGCGATTTCCACTGGCTCAGATATTTCAACTAGTGGTTATTTATCTATTTATCAAAGAAATTTATGTGACCATAAATCGGACGATCATTTGTCTGAAGTGGTGTAGGGTTTCCTGCTTGTGCAGCGGGTTGGAGTAGAAGACTTCCAAGGTCCCTTCCAACTGTTATTCCGAGATTAGACCACCTAATTCACATATGGCTGAGCCCACGCACCTTGCAAATTTAAAAACCACAAAATAAAATTCCAACCCCCCCCCATAGCAGCAGCGACTCAATCAATACTTATTTATTGAACAAATTTATGAGGACGCCTAACTTAAATAACATTAGTTTAAAAGTTTTGATTAAAAATCTTCTAGTTCACCAGGGCAGACACACTTTCCAGTGACAGCCTCAACATTTGCTTAGGGCCCAATATCACTTCCGTTCAAGGGAAACCTTGGTTGAGCTCTCAAAGCAAAAAGACTTTTGTGGGAACCCCAGCAGATGTAGCAGAAACAACCTGGGAAATAGTCCCAAAGGTGCTTTTTCAAAAGGCAACTGGACTTTCTTGGTTTTTTCTTGAAGATGTTTCGCTTCTCATCCAAGCTTCTTCAGCTCTGGACATTACGGAAGCGAAACGTCTTCAAGGAAAAACTAAGAAAATCCAGTTGCCTTTAAAAAAAACACCTCTGGGACAACCATGACCTGGATGACTGAGAATCTCCCTAGATCCGTGGTGGTGAACCTATGGCACGCGTGCCACAGGTGGCACGCAGAGCCCTCTCTGTGGACACGCGTGCAGTCGCCCCAGTCCTAGGCCTTCAGCTGGGCTTTATAAAACTTTTTCGCTTTAGGCCTCCGCCGCCATATGCAAAAAAAAAAAAAAAAAAAGGTTCAATTTCAACTTCTCACGGGAAAAAAAAAGATCTCGCAAAGTTGGAATTGAACTTTTTAGTCCCACCCAGTGTACCGTTACCTCCGCAGCCACGCCCACCCAATTAATAATAATAATAAAGTGGGAAGGGACCTTGGAGGTCATCAAGTCCAACCCCCTGCTCAGGCAGGTAACCCTATACCATATCAGACAAATGGCTGTTCAGTCTCTTCTTAAAAACTTCCAGTGTTGGAGCATTCACCGCTTCTGGAGGCAGGTTGTTCCACTGGTTAATTGTTCTAACTGTCAGGAAGTTTCTCCTTAGTTCTAGGTTGCTTTTCTCCTGGATTAGTTTCCATCCGTTGCTTCTTGTCCTGCCTTCAGGCCACACCCACCCAAGGGGCCACGCCCACCCGGCACCCAACAATACGTAAGTGGGTCTTGGGTTGCAGTTTGGGCACTCGGTCTCTAAAAGGTTCGCCATCACTGCCCTAGATAAATCGGGGAAATAAAATACCGTAATGTCCTATACTGGAGCCAGCTTTCATGCTTGTAATGGAGTTTCTCCAGATATTCTATGGGAATGCCTTGTTCTTCATCCCTTCCGCGGATGTAAATCCTATCCAAGCATTTCTAAAAAAAAAAGAAAGAAAGAAAAAAGAAAGAATGGAGCAGGATTTTCAGGCAAAACTGAAATAAGGCAAAATGCCACCTTCTGACAGGAAAAAAGCAACAACTTTAAAAACCAGTGTTTAAATACTTATAAAATCAATGAAGTAAGAACCAAAACTCTGCAAAGGATTGTACTCTAATGGAGTGGCCCCCAACCTTTTGGGCACTGGGGACCGTGAAGAGAGGTTTTTCCGCAATATGGAGGGGGCGTGGTTTCGCGTGCTGCCGGCATCCCACGGATGGGGCTTTGCGGTCCGTGTTTCTGACATGCCGTGGCCTGGTGCTGGTCCACGGACCGGGGGTTGGGGACCCTTGTTCTAATGTCCAGGGTATTCATAAAGCTTTATTTCTTACTTCAGGAGTAGCTCGGAGATAAATAATGCCATCCAGTTCCAGGCTTGATCCAAACTGCTGATTTATCCAGTTGTGCCAGTCTTGATAAATAGTCCATTCCGTTTCATTCATACAATCAGATTCATATAAATTGGATGCAAAGATGTACCTTTCCAGAAAAAAAAGAATTCAATTTAGTTTCAATTATCCCAGAATGGGGGAAACACCTGTAACAAAATCATTCTCACAGCCAGTTTAACCATTGCCAGTCCTTCACTGCCAGTTGCAACTGTGAGATGGGTGGCTATCTAAATGGATAGAATAAATAAACTGCTATAAATACAGGATCCTAGCTAAGAGCTGGCAACTGCATAAACGTTCAAAGGTAGCTACATAAAAGTAATTTATGCAGATAGTCCTTGACTGACAACAGTTCATTTAGTGACTGTTCAAAGTTACACTGAAAAAGGTGACTTATGACCGTTTTTCACACTTACGACGGTTGCGGCATCCCCAGGGTCACATGATCAAAATTCAGACACTTGGCAACTGACTCGCATTTATGACGGTTGCAGTGGCTCGGGGTCATGTGATCCCCTTTTGCGACCTTTTGACAAGCAAAGTCAATGGGGAAGCCAGATTCATTTAACAACCCTGTTACTCACTTAACAACTGCAGTGATTCACTTAACCACTGTGGCAAAAAAGGTGGTAAAATGGGGTAAAATTCACTTAACCAGTGTCTCGCTTAGCAACAGAAATGTTGGGCTCAATTGTGGCTATAAGTCGAGGACTACCTGTATATGCACATGGGCTAAATGTATATTTTGTGCATATTGCCTTCTCTGTAGAAAAAGAACAAGAAATAAGACAGAAGCCAACACCTCAATATTGTCTCTCTCCTATAGTCTAGATACAGTCCAGCCTTCCCCAAAGTATGTATGTGTACCCTTCAGAATTCATCTCCCAGAATTCCCTGGTTAAAATGGCCATTGCTGAGAATGCTGGAAGCCGAACTTCACATATCTGGAAGTGAATTGTTCTAACCCAGGGGTCTGCAACCTTAAACACTCAAAGAGCCACTTGGACCCGTTTCCCAGAGAAAAGAAAACACTGGGAGGCGCAAAACTTGTGCACGTGTGCACATATGAAGAGTGAGGAGCTTGATTGAAGAGTTTAATTAAAAAGAAATAGAGGCTGCGGTGCATGAGTTCTCTTTCTTCTCCCTCTTCCTCTTTCCTCTTTCTCTCTTTCCTCTCCCCCCCCCCTCTCCGATCTTCTGCTCACCTAGGAAGCTGGCTTCAGCTCTTCTCCACCAAGCTGACACACATTCTTATTGGGCTGGCTATCTCCTGCCCTTCCTGCTTCCTGCAGAGACGCAGCCAAGGCAGGAGCCCCGCCCAATAAGCTTGTCAGCTTGTAGGAGAACAGCGTGAGGCCACTCCCTTTTTTACAGAGAGAGAGAGAGAGAGAGAGAGAGAGAGAGAGAGAGAGAGAGAGAGAGAGAGAGAGAGAGAGAGAGAGAGAGAGAGAGAGAGAGAGAGAGAGAGAGAAGGGAAGCGCAAGTGCCTCTCTCTCTGCAAATGGCAGAGGAGGCTGAGAGCAGCAGGAGAAGGCTCAAAGAGCCACATGCGGCTCCGGAGCCGCGGGTTGCCGACCCGTGTTCTAACCCAATCTAGTGTCAAGAAACCAATTCCGTGACTGAAAAGGGGAAAACTTTTCAATTTCTCCAAAAACTGAAAGGATGATGAGATGCAAAACTGAGGGGAGGTGACTTAAAAAGATAGTTATCAAGAATCACATGGATACCTGTCACTGTAAACTGATCGCTCAAAGAAAACCGCAGCATTCTCAGCTTCTTTTAGTTTCCCTTCAAGAGATTTGAGCTGAGCCCTGATTCTGCTCAGACAGGCGTAGGCTTGAAAAGTAAAGGACCATCTCTCTGGCTTTTCATACATCATCTGAAGGAGGTTTCCACCACTCTTTTGGGAGGCCGTCAGCTCCTGTTTAAACATTCATCAAAATTACATGAGAATTAAAAATGGCTTGGCTTTAATAATTGATTTGCATGTTCTCAAATTCTGGACACACTCTGAAATGTGAGAGTTGCCTATCCATGTCATCAAACCTATCTAATATGGAATGTAGCCGCATGCAATATCTTGTTCCTCCTCCGTTTTGTCTCAAAAATCTATTTCTTATTATGCCCAATTCATATAATCAATATTTTATCATACCTCACAGTCATCATGGCTGTCCTGAACATTGCACCATTTTGCCACTGGCTCTGGAACAATTTCCCATTCTTCTCGGGCTTTTTTGAGAATATTCACAAAGGTAGATTTGCCTGCGGCTAAGGAATAGAAAAAATACTGATCAAACCAGTAAGATTCTGCAGTTGTCTTTAGAACTCGCTACCAGTTTAAAAAAGGAATGGTTTATTTAATTTCTATAGCCACCGATCTCGACCGAGTGACCTCCTGCTTCCCTGCTGACCGGTCAGAGCAGCAGCATGAGATCCGTCGAGTGGATGCACCCAGGCCGGGCAAGGGCTTCCTCTCCCCCCCATAAATCGGCGAGAAGTAAAACCTCTCTTATTACGGCTTAGTTCACAACCATAATAAGTTGCTCCTCCTGAGCAAAGGCACACGAGCTGGGTTTGCACCTCGACCTAGATTTTTGGGTGGGGGGGGGGGAAATAGCAAGCCCCCAGGTGCCAATGCAGCAAAAAGATTAATGGGCTGCTGCAACCTGCCTCTTAATAATAATCAAGTTGGAAGGGACCTTGGAGGTCATCTAGTTCAGCCCCCTGCTCAGGCAGGAAACCCTATACCATTTGAGACAAATGGCTGTCTTCTTAAAAACTTCCAGTGTTGGAGCATTCACCGCTTCTGGAGGCAGGTTGTTCCACTGGTTAATTGTTCTAACTGTCAGGAAGTTTCTCCTTAGTTCCAGGTTGCTTCTCTCCTTGATTAGTTTCCATCCGTTGCTTCTTGTCCTGCCTTCAGGTGCTTTGGAGAATAGCTTGACTCCCTCTTCTTTGTGGCAGCCCCTGAGATATTGGAACACTGCTGTCATGTCCCCCCTCGTCCTTCTCTTCATTAAACTAGACATACCCAATTCCAGCAACCGTTCCTTATATGTTTTTAGCCTCCAGTCCCCTAATCATCTTTGTTGCTCTTCTCTGCACTCTTTCTAGAGTCTCAGCATCTTTTTTACATCGCGGTGACCAAAACTGGATGCAATATTCCAAGTGATGGGGCTGCCAGCACCAGGCAGAAGAGCGGAGCCCTGAGGCGGGGAGGGGGGGGTGAATCTCACTCCTTGGGTTGCGAAGCGTAGGGCAATTGGGGGGTGGGTGGGGTGCAGACAACACGCAGGCAAGAGAATCGAGAGTGAGAAAGACACGGGCGGAAATGTCTCCGGGACACTTGCCTTGGGGCTCCGCTCTTCTGCCTGGCTGCTAGGAAAAAATTCTCGGGAACAAAGTTTTTTTTTTATTATTATGGTTGTGACCACCGAGGCCACGCCCACCCAGTCAGCCACGCCCACCCGGCACGCAGCAATAAATAAATGGGTTTTGGGTTGCGGTTTGGGCACTCGGTCTCTAAAACAGTGGTTCTCAACCTGTGGGTCGGGGCCCCATTTGGGGTCGATCGACCATTTCACGGGGGTCGCCAAGCAAGGCTGTCCACCATTTTTTTTGTCCGCCATTTTTTTGTCCGCCATTTTTTCCCCCTTTTCCGGCAGGTGCCTTACCTCCCTTGGGCTGGGCCAGCTGGTGGTCGGCCTGCTCCGTCTCTGCCGCTTGCCAGCTACGCCTCGGCCGGCGCAGGGCGGAACCACGCATGTGCGGCGCTCCCAGGCAGGGAAAGTCCTCGGCTTACGACCGGTTGGGTAGTCCTCAACTTACGACCGGTTTAGTCCTCGACTTACGACCGGTTTAGTCCTCGACTTACGACCAGTTGGGGTCGCGGCATTAAAAAGGTTGAGAACCACTGCTCTAAAAGGTTCGCCACCACTGGCATAGGGTTTCCTGCCTGAGCAGGGGGTTGGACTGGATGACCTCCAAGGTCCCTTCCAACTTTACTATTATTATTACTACTATTATTACTACTATTATTATTATCATCATCATCTGTAACTTGAGCTGGCCAAGGAGTGTATATCGGAGGTGATAACCCTTTGAGAGCTGTATGCAACGACATTTCATTTTGAGGTATGCCGATTGGTGTACATTCAAAGTGACAATAGTTATTATTATTATTATTATTATTATTATTATTATTATTATTATTATTATTATATAAGAATGATTAGGAATAGAATAGAATAGAATAATGCCTTTATTGTCACTTTAAATGTACATTAATCAGCGTACATGAACATGAGATCTGGTCGCACACAGCTCTCAAAGGGTAACCACCTCCAATAAACAATGCGTAAACACGACCAAAATAAAAATATAATAAAAATGATAACAATAATGATAATAACTTAGTTGGGGAAAAAAAGAAAAGAAAAGAAACACACCCCTCGACTTAATTTGCTACTTCAGTTCATAATTCAGGAGCAGCGGCGAGTACAAAAATAGCCGGGCAGACTCAGGAATTGGCTGAAATCAAGAAAGATATATTTTGGTTTGGAGAAGATGGATAGATTATATTGAGCGTAAATATGGGACTAAAAAATATCATTTGGTTTTTGAGTAAATTTTAGAGTATTAGGGTTGTATAAAGGTTAGAATATTTGATTTAGTATTATTTTTAATTATTAAAGTGTTGCTATTATTATTGTTTTTAATAATTGCACTGTTTAAAAGAGAGCTAAAGGAGGTTATAGATACGTTATTTTAATAGTTGATTAATGTTAAGTAGAGTATAATAATAATAATAATAATAATAGTAAAGTTGGAAGGGACCTTGAAGGTCATCTAGTCCAACCCCCTGCTCAGGCAGGAAACCCTATACCACTTCGGACAAATGGCTGTCCAGTCTCTTCTTAAAAACTTCCAGTGTTGGAGCATTCACCGCTTCTGGAGTCAGGTTGTTCCACTGGTTAATTGTTCTCTATATTGTAAAATTTTATAAAATTTTCAATAATAAAAAAAAAAGATATATATTACGCTTCCAGCCTTCCCGTCATCTACCGAGGAAGCCGCCCTCTGGAGAGCGAGCCTTTCCCCTCCCCCCCCCCCCACCCCGACGGCTTACCTATATTGCCCTCGATGGCGATCTTCTTCACGCTGCCCCGGCTTCGTTTGGGTGGGGTTGCCATGGAAACGGCAGGCCGGTATCTAAAGACGGAGCTCCCCCTCAGAAAGAAACGGCAGCGCAGGAAGGACAAAAAGCGCGGGAAACGCACTTCGCCGGCTAGGCCAAACGCCGCTTTCTTCTTCTTCTTCTTCTTCTTCCCCGCCGGCGTTCGATTTTGGTTACGTCACCAGTGACGTCACGCGAAAGCTCCGCCCAGCTTGGCCCAAGTTGCCGCAGTCCCCTGCTTCTCGAGGCGGCGAACCTCTTTCAATCGCTTCTTGGCTTGGCTACAGGGGCCCGAGAGGGACAGAAAAGGTGAGGTGGAAAGGCGAACGCCCGTCAGGTTAGCGCGCCGCTTAAGAAGTAAAGAGCCCAGCGTTGCTAAATGGGGGACTCGCCCGCCAGCCAGGTGCCGATGCCGGCTTTCCAAAGCGAAAGGGAAGCTTAATCGCACGCCGAAAAACGGATTCAGCCGGAAGGGAGGCAAGTTGGAGCTCCGAGCGCATCGATCACATCAATTGGGATGAGGTTACCTGGAACCAGACACCCTTTCCAACCCGGACAAAATTATTTCCCTGCAAAACGGGGAAGTTTTTCTTTTTAAAAAACATTATTCTGTCTCTAGGCCAGGGGTCTTCAAACTTGGCCCTTGTATGACTTGTGGACTTCAACTCCCAGAATTCCTCAGCCAGGCAAGCTGGCTGAGGAATTCTGGGAGTTGAAGTCCACAAGTCATACAAGGGCCAAGTTTGAAGACCCCTGGTGTAGGCAGCTTTGCGTCCACTGCGAAGAATGAGAGAAACTGCATCTAGTGTGTGTTTTTGTTTCCACAACATCCAGGGACCAACTCAAGCAGCCTGAGCACGTCAATGCAATTCATGGACTTCCCAGGACAATTTTAAGATATATATGGACTTCAAGTCAAAAAAGATGCCAAGGTTGAATAACACTGTCTCAGAGAGTAGGATGCTGGTTTCCTTCAGCATCAGACTGTTGCAGGGAAACTGGGTTAGAGTTGAGTTTGTCTCCATCATCATGTTTCCAAACTGCTCATTATTGATGGTGGGGAGTGTAATATATGGCAAATATCTCCTCTATCTTGCTAAACAGCATTATTTTAAAGCCTCAAGACTGGAATAGTGGAGAAAAATAACATTCTGCAATGATACCTTGGATTGTATTAAACAATAATATCTCCAGTGTTTCTCAGCTGTGGCAACTTTTAAGAGGGGTGGACTTCAACTCCCAGAATTCCCCAGCCAGCATGTATTGAGAAATATTGATTTATCTACCTATCCCAGACCCTTCTCAAAACTCAAAGAGATGGACAAAAAGGCCAAATCTAATCTGGCTGACTGTGCAACCAATCATCATCATCATAGTATTGTCTAGGAGTCCATCTTGTCCTGACCATGGCATTTATAAAATAATAAAGGCAGGATAAAAAACAAATAAATGTGGAAAACTGCAACTTGGATGAAGAGAGGAGTAAGTGGAAAGGTGTGGAGGATCTAATGCAGGGGTCTTCAAACTCGGCCCTTTTATGACTTGTGGACTTCAGCTCCCAGAATTCCTCAGCCAGGCATGCTGGCTGAGGAATTCTGGGAGTTGAAGTCCACGGGTCATAAAAGGGCCGAGTTTTGAAGACCCCTGATCTAATGTGTTTTTTTCCCAGAGTATGAGCTGAACTGATATTTTTACCTGAACGATTATGTGGGCATGCTTCCCTCTATGAAATTCACCAAAATGATGTCACATAAAACTAGTCCTTGATGTATGACGACAACTGAGCCCAAAATTTCTGATGTTAAGCAGGACAGTTGTGAATTGAGATTTGCCACATGTTATGATTTTTCTTGCCCCAATTGTTAAGTGAATCACTAGAGGTGTTAAGTTAGTACTACAGTTAAGTGAATCTGGCTTCCCAATTGACAGATTTGTCGCAAAGGTGATCACGTGTCCCCGGGACACTGCAACCATCATAAATATGAACTATTTGCCAAATGTCCAAATTTTGATTATGTGGGGATGCTGCAACAGTCGTAAGTGTGAAAAATGGTCATAAATATTTTCAGTGCAACTGTCATTTGAACAATCATTGTACAAATGATTGTTAAGTCGAGGACTATCTATAATTAACACTTTATATGTGTGTGTGTATGTGTCCGTGTGTGAGAGAGACACCCTTAGCTAATGATTTGGGGAAGGTTTAGAGTTCTCTAATGTAGTCATGCATTCAACTCTTATCATCCATCTTTCCAGACTGGAGAACACACCCACAAATATACTAGAAATCTGTAAAATGTCTTGAATTTTGGGTGGTCCAGACTCAACCCAAAGTGTTGATTCCTGTATGGAACAAAATGGGTCTGTATGATCCAGGAAGAACTAGCTAGGGAAAGAATCGTCATCATCATCATCACCATCTAAAGGAATTCTACTAAAACTTTCATAAATGTTACTGAAATCTGCTTCCAAATCAAAAGTGAAAGTATTCTGTGTATACTGGATAAAAAGAATCCAATCGTTATCCAAAACGAATGAGGTTCAAGTCTGGGTATGTTATGTCTAGGCAAAAACAACCACACAACCTCCTTTATACAAAAACTTCATCAATCTTTTGGTAACCTGAGTTAAGTATCTGGATGGGCATGGGTTCATTTTATTGCCATTTGACTTGCTTGCAGTACAAACAGTTAACAAATCCATCTGAGGTAACTGCAGGACACCTTTGCTGAGGAAAGATCAGATGTGCACAATTTACAGATACATACGAATCTCACCTATTAAAAATTATAAGTACGAGAAGGGAAAAAAGCACTCATGTCAAACATAGCTATTTATTTTTTTTCTTATAAACAGCATCCATTTTCCTTAATGAAAAAAGCCTAGAATTTATATAGTTTTTCATCCCATCACTTACAACAATATGTATACATTATTTACATCTTTTCCAATATATGTGTTGCAGAATTTCAGACATCCAACTTTTTTTTTTTACTATTTTTTTCATTAAAAAGCCATTTTTTCAGGTAGAACAAGTACTGATTAAGTGACTACAAACTGAAGTAATATTGGCACAGTTTGCCTACAGTACATATTATGTTGCATTTTATATTTTTAAATTATTATTTTTTTGTGTCCAGCATCTGCTATTACCTTTCTCTCTCTGATAAGCAGCTACCTTTTTTTCCTCTTCTTTTAATAGAGAGGGTGTCACTGAGGCAGGTCAAATTTCTATCCCTAAGGCAGCATAAATTCTAGCACACAGGATCCGTTTAATTTCATCAGCAGAATCAAATGGCAAGGCTTTTTTTCCAAAGCTGCAGGATTTTTTCCCACGTAATTACGTTTCCTTGCCGGAAACGTGGAATGTTAACCAAAAACTTCCTGCGTCTCCAGAAATGTGTTCAAATTTTGAGTTGCCCAGAGATGCAAATTCAGAAAAGCTTCAGGTTGATTCTGCTGGTTGTAAATACTCTCAATCAGGCAGGAAGCAATCGCCACTATAGATCCTTTTCAAAGGGTATACTAAGGAATGGCCAGCTTCTCTGGGATTTTTCTCTACTCTTTATCAAGAGAGCACAGAAAAAAAAATGCTCCTATATTTTTCTAATATGCTGCACAAAGAAGGACCTGGGTAGATCTATCTAGGTCAGGAATAGGCAACCTTGGCTCTTTTATGACTCGTGGACTTCAACTCCCAGAATTCCTGAGCTAGCCATGCTGAGGAGAAAGGGAGAGGTTTCCAAGCTGAGCCATGCTGGCTCAGGAATTCTGGGAGTTGAAGTCCACGAGTCATAAAAGAGCCAAGGTTGCTTACCCCTGATCTAGCTACTGGAAGGGACCAGCAAGTAAGTTTCTTCGCAAATTTGTTTTCCCCCTCACTACATATTCAAAAGTGTTGATTCTCGTGACAATATTTAGCAACACGACATCAGTGAGTAAAATTCAAAAATGGAACCAAATGACATTTCAAAAGATTTGTGTTCCAAATAACCTAGTAATAAGTGTACAAAAATAATGAGTACAGTTTAGTGGCTATAAAAAATTAATTTTCCCTAAAAATACATTAATCTATGAAAAAACTATTGAAAGGACAGTGCTCTTGGGAAAGAAAATTAGCAAATAAAGCGTCTTAAAACTGGAGTTATTCTGCTACCGCAGGAGAGAATCGTGTTTTAAAAAGGAAGCACACGTGTGCAATAGACAATAAATGGAAATATACCTCTAAAGTGGCTACTGGCTCTAGAAATGCAGTTTAGGAAAACCCAAATAGTCCTTGCCTATTCAGAAATGAAATTTATCCCTCCCTTCCCTGCATAAAATGCATTAAGTAATATGAGAGCATTGCAGTTGAAAAACGGACAGGTCCAACTTCATATTACAGTTTTAAAATGGACATTCTAGCATTTCACCTACCCTTTAGTATATGGGGAGAAAAATACCTGTCTTAAATTATTTTCCAAATAAATCAACACACACATTTCCACTCCCCCCCTTCAGAAAAATAATCTTTATATGGAAATCTAAGAAAAGGCTTTCGGTCGTGGGAATAAAAAAACAAAACAAGACCAGTATATAGCAGCATTGGCTTTTTGCCTATGGGATAAGTTTGAGAGAATGGTGTCAATTCTAAATTCTTAATAGAGCCTCTGATTCTGTAAGATTACCAGTGAGTATTCAAAATTCTCTCTTGCATAGTAAGCTGTTAAAGAAATGGGAATTTCCCTGTTGAAAGTTATTTATTTAAAGCCCACCTAACTACTACTGGACAAAAAGTAGGATACTTTTATACTTGCACAATTAGCATGAATCCCTGACATGGATGTGTGAAGTAGGCTTGTAATTTCAAGGGCCAGGATAATAAAACATCTCCCATTAATGTCAATTCTCTGGATTAAATCAATCACTGGCTCAAGAAAACACAACACAGCTGGTTTTTAGGAACTTGGATCTATGCTTACGACCATCCATCTTGGTCAGCCTCATCTAATTAAAGTAGGTTACCTGTGCAGGTGGGTAACCAAGACAAAAGAGCAGATTGACAGGTGATACAGAGAATGGAGCCAGTTCTGACATTTTATGGCAGGGGTCTTCAAACTTGGCCACTTCAAGACTTGTGGACTTCAACTCCCAGAATTCCCCAGCCAGCCATGGCTGGCTGGGGAATTCTGGGAGTTGAAGTCCACAAGTCTTGAAGTGGCCAAGTTTGAGGACCCCTGTTTTAAGGCTATTCCTTCTTCATGGAAGGAACACAAGTGTTTGTCAATGGCTGGTCATAAGGAAAAAAAAATAAGCGTCTGCCTAACGTTTGGTATCAAAAAAAGGCATACGATTTCTAACACAGTATCCTTTTAAAATGAAAAGGCTAGATTCCAGGCTGTGACTGTTGTTTTTTTTAATAATACTACACTGTTCAATTTTCAAAATCTGTGTTCAACTGAAAGATCAAGGAAGCTTTTCTGTTTGCATTGTAACACACTTTTAAACAGTATTTTTCAAGACCACCAGAGCAATCCCACTAAAAGCTGATCTAGTGCTGATCAAATTCAGAATAATCACCGTCTTAATACTGTCAATGCTTCAATCTTCAAGGCAATAAGAAGAGTTGAACCAACAGCCCTCTTTGTCAACCATCTCCAAGTGTTTATCATTCAAGAAGGAAATTGGCAATGAATGGAGTCCACTTTTGTCATCATTGTTTTCAATGAGTCCCTTAAATGTTAAGACTAAAATTATGGGAGATAATTATTATGGCCAAGCTACATTGATTCTAATTAGACCTTATTTTGAGGTCTTACACATTTCAAGATCCAAACAAGTTGAGAGGACACCTAGCATTTTTCTTCTTTTATTTTTAACAGATATTTTTTTAGGGGTGGTTAAAATTGCTAGATGAAAATTGGGGATATTTAAAATTCTAACCTCTAAACTGCTTTCAGCATCCCAGCTTTGAACAATTTTTTTTCCATTAGCAATGTAAACTTTCAAATTCAAGGTTCAGCAAACAGGACTGTGAATCTGACTTCTAAAATTAAATATTGACAAAACGTTACTATGAACATCAGGATCAAATCTGGTTATGAAACATTGCCAAGATTTTGATTACGGTACTCATTTTTTTAGTAGATCCATCGGAAGAACCATCATTATTAATGGCTACCAGGTTATAAGGGTCAAGAATACAGCTAGATAATGTAACCACAGTAAATTTGTATTTTTCCCCTCATATGACTATGTTTAATTATCTACTTCTCAGGCAAAAGACATCCTGTATGCCTTTTATCACTTCAGTTCTTAAAAGTATCTTAAAGGTATATATAACCTCAAAGATATAATAAAAGAAACTGTTGTGTACATTAGACTTTTAATATATTCATTGGCTTTAAATATTATTAGTTTAATGGACACACAGTACATGTTCATGTGATTTTAGCTAATCCCAATGATAATGTGAAAAGTGGGCTTCAAGGTTAGGATCTAAGGATATATGGCAGTGTTTCTCAATCTTGACAATTTTAAAGCATGTGGACTTCAACTCCCAGAATTCCACAGCCAGCAATGCTGGCTGTGGAATTCTGGGAGTCGACGTCCACATGCCTTAAAATTGTCAAGGTTGAGAAACATTGATATATGGAGTAATTTGTGTGTTGTCAATCAATCCATGGAAACTGGTGAAGCAAACAAAACGTGTGACATTCCAAAAAAGATAAAAAAAAAAAAGGGGGGGGGGAGATTTTGGATTTAATGCTCAAACCACTGGTAAGTTTCAGCTGCCCTGGCATTTAGAACAATAGCGGATGATCTTAGGTCACGAAATCAGAAATTGGCTTCTCATTTTTGAATTCCTCAACAGGAATTATCCCAAATTCTAAACATTCTAAGATAAAGGATATGAAGAGAGAGGAAAATCAGCAAAACAACATTGAAAATTTTATCAAAATTGGTGCGTCTCCAATTATCTTAAATGACCACCAGCTCAAAATTCCAAAACATCATTGTACTTTTGTTACAAGAGATAAATGCTTTTCCCTTATAGCATTCTTGTTCAATTGAGATTACAAAGAGGCTGCGGATTTAGGATGTGTGAAATGGAAAAAGTAAACTGCTCAGTAGACTGAGACAATTTCTCTTTATTAAAAGTTGAAGCACTAGGATGCTTTGTCCCCATTTTTAAAAATAACCGTGGTAGATTTATAAATATTTCCTTTATTACTATTATTGTTCCTTGGAAACGGCTTCCCTTTTATTTTGACTAGATGCCACTGCAGGATTCTCGATTTAAAAGAGTGGAAAGTTTTTAGTTCAATTTGATAAAACACTGATTGAAAAAAATAATCCTACTGGTAGATCAGAATGAGTTAAAATCTTGGCAGAATGTATATTGTCAAAAGTAATGTACCCAGTATCATTCTTGGCCCCTACAATATTGAAGATGTATTAGATCAGGGGTCCTCAACCATGGCAACTTTTAAGACTTGGGGACTTCAACTCCCAGAATTCCTCAGTGAATTCCTCAGTGAGGAATTCTGGGAGTTGAAGTCCACAAGTCTTAAAGTTGCCACGGTTGGAGACTCTTGTATTAGATGGGTAGTTCAGTATGTTATTTAAAAAAAAATGAAAAAAATGAGTCACTCATTGACTTCTCTTCCCCAACCTATGTTCGCTTCTAAAGTCATTGCTTTCTCGTAAAGATTGGAGATCACTGACAGACGTTATGGCTTTTAGAAAAGGTTTGCACATATTAATTACATATAACAAGTATCAATAAATGTCCTGGGTAGCTATTTGTGTTTTCTGTTTCCAGCAATGTTCTTTGTATGTGCTTTGTACCTCAGAAGAGAATCTACCAAGGCACTTAGAGAAGATTCAATCTCTTTTTTAAGGATCTTCTGAGAAAAGATGTACAACTGGCAATCCTGGACTTTCCAACTAGCAGTGTGTCACATTTCCCAACAAGCATGTCTTTTTCCTTTATTAACACACAAACATCTGCTTAAAAATTAACAAGAACAATGAACAAGAACAGAAAACCATTTACTGTGTGTGTGTGTGTGTGTATATCTCACTAAGTGAAAGAAGTTTCACTAAGAAAAAGCACAGAGAATGGATCTACGTTGCCTGAAGTAAAACAGAAGTTTCCTTTTCTTTCTAAAACAAACAAACAGAAGGTGGCAAACCTCCACACACTTACTCGGGAGTTAAAAGTCCCCTGGAACTTAAAATGAGTAGAGAATTTCAAACCCAAATCCCTAAAAAACCCCACATGCCTGCTTAAAGAAAACAAAACAAGATTTCCACAATTTCATTTTCGCTTATCTGTCCTTGGAAGTGAGTTTTTCAATCAGTTCTTGGAGCGGAGCAAGTTCTCTTCTGTCTATAAGATTAAATTCCTGTGGGAGGGAGAAATAAAATCAACATCTCAAAATCAGAGGCTTAAAGGGAAGATATTAAATCGCTGAAAGCAAAGTCGCTTTATGGGGAGATTAGGGGAAAAAAGACAGGCCTCCTGGGAAGGAAAAAAGGAATTTTCTACCGAAAATCCTGCTTCTCAGGAACGTACTTTACCCATCTCTTGTGGCATGCACAGATAGCCAGAAATTACCTCTTGTGGTTTCAGGAGTTCCCTAGCTAAAACCCCACCAATGCCTCTAAATCTCTGGTGCAGTTTCCACCCTGTTGTAACCAAAGCAGACAAAAATCAGTGAAGAGAAATAGATTAAGTTTCACTGCCCTACCTACAGTAGTGGCCAAAATTGTGGAAACCTTTTGGGAAAAGTGTATTTTTGAGGTTTGATGGCTAATAACACCACTTTGTTTTTGGAGTAGTACCATAAAATTATATATCAATGGAAAGATCATTTAATCAAGAACGTAATGCAACAAAGTTTGTTCAATTATCTGTACTGTATTCTATGAAACGTTGTAGCCAGATAACCAGAAAAAGGAAGCACAACTTGCTTAGGTTGATATCAGGTAGCTTTCCTTCCTCTGATTGTAGCCAATGAGCATGAGTGTTTAGAGGGCCAGTCAGGTGCCATCTTGTTTTGGCAATGAGCCAATCAGATCACAGTAGGATCCAGTTATTGATGTCCTGTATTGAAGCTGAGAGGAGGACATTTGTCAGTGTGTTATGTGATCGCTATCAAGTTGGTTGGGTTTTTTGTGTTCTTCCACTGAGTGAGCTTGTAAAACATAATAAAATTAAAGTCATGGTGCAAAGACTTGACTGCTTACCCAGAAAGCGATGTAAAATAGTATTATTAGTATTATTAAGTGAACAAGGCTACAGTGATAAAGAAATTAGAAGAAAAACGGGTGGAAACTTAACCAAAGGTGGCATTTCTACTGTACACTTTTCCCAAAAGGTTTCCACAAAAGTCAAGATTATAGCAAATAGTTTTTCAGCTATTGAGAATTCCAAGGTATATTCCCCTTTAAAATGGCAGAAAGCTGCAAAAATCATTTTGTACGTACAAAATTAAATCACAGCCATTGCTGTGTTTGTTTACCTGAACAAAAAAGATAAAGTGCTTGAAGGATGTGTTGAGATGTGCCTCTTCTTGAAGCTGAATAACCGGATCAAAGTGCTGGTGATATATGTGAGCGTAAACTCTGAAGAGACGCTTTAAGATGGTCTTAGCTACGGACATGAAATTCTTTGGGAAAGGAACACCTGGAAATCAAGCAAAATATAAATCATTCCCATTCTACTAAAACAGCTACTCAACGTTGACAGAATGTGAGGACCAGGTTCATTGGAAAAGCACTATCCAAATACAGGTTTGTCCCAGCAAAAATATTTAAATCAGGGATCTTCAAACTTGTCCCTTTTATGACTTGTGGACTTCAACTCCCAGACTTCTGGGAATTGAAGTCCACAAGTCATAAAAGGGACAAGTTTGAAGACCCCTGGTTTAAACTATCCAGTGAATTTATTTAAGTGTCTGCCCTGAATGAAATGGACAAGTCTTCTCCAACCTAGTACACTGAGATAACAACTCTGAGTTCTCCAATCATCATAGATGCCTGGGAACTTTCAAAGGCACCCAAAGTTGCTTGGATGACTAATATAACGTCTCAGATTAACCAAGTTTGCTCCAGTTGCCACGATTCAACCTTTAGATACCTTTGGCCTGGACGACTGAGTTTTCATTGACATATTGCAAGCCATTTGGGGGAGAAAACCCCTGAAGTTGGTGTGGCAAGAATTGGTATATTCCAACAACTCTCTGATTCTCTACCTAACGAATTTTGCTCTGACTGATGAAGCTGCTTGGATGAGCAACGAAACGTCTCAGATTAACAAAGTTTGGTCCAGGTTAGGTAGAGTTGCCATGAAATCATTGAATGATAGCTATTAAAATTCATATTGATAAGGGGCATTGTGAAAACCTGAAGTCCATGGAAGGACATATCATGATGGAGAAAACCTATCTGTGGGGTTGCTAAGAATCAACACTGACGTGATGGCACATAGTCAATCTATCAGTCAATCAAACCAATCAAATTACTGTATGTGTGTGTGTGTGTGTGTGTGTGTGTATTGTCAACGCTGCAAATACTGTATATTCTTGCTTTGACAAAATATGCAAAACTGTCTGGTATTTTTAGAGTTAATGCAGAGCAGGGAAGGGAGGAGGGAAAAGCCCGGGAAAAAGGAACGGAAGTGAATCTCTGCCCTCCGGGCTTATTGGAAGATGTGACTTATGACTGCAAAATAAGGGAGGGGTTTAGAAAGAAAAGTTAGACGCAAGAGTTGAGAAATTCAGATTCTGGCATAAGCCTCCATGATGTGCCGTCAATTTATAACACTGTTAATAAAGGCTTTAGGATAAACATGCCTGGAAGTTCTTTGAAGTGTTTCATTAGTCGGAACCATGACATATATATATATTCAAAATGTGTGGCTGGCAAAGAGTTAGTGGGAGACTAGTATAGCTATTTCAGGCTCATTTTGCCCTCATCAGCTAGTCACACCCTTCAGGGATTCGAACCTGGGCTGCTTGCATGTTAGGCAGCTATATTACCATTTTGAGCCACAGGTTCCCCCTTACTCCTGTCAGCAGAAACCAGGGAGGATATATATCTTATCTGTTGGGTGAGGCACCCGGTCTACCAAATATAAATCAGTCTGTTCTGCTTTTTGCTCCAATCTAGGAGCCTGTTTTGCAGGCAGACGTCACATACTGTGAACACTATAAATTCAAAATTTGTGGCTGGCAAAGAGTTAGTGGGAGACTAGTATAGCTATTTCAGGCTCATTTTGCCCTCATCAGCTAGTCACAGAACACAGAACAGACTGATTTCTATTTGGTAGACCGGGTGCCTCACCCAACAGATAAGATATGTATGTATGTATGTACAGTATGTATGTATGTATGTATGGTCCTCGTGTAAATCTTTTTGATGTCATGCCAAAACTAATGATGATGATGATGATATCCATTCAGACACGTCCGACTCTTGGCGATTCTGTGGGCCAGGTCTTCCAATCTTGCCCTCCTTCTTCTTGTCCTTTGCTCTGACTGGTGTCAGCATTGAGGATGCTCAAACTGGCTTCCTGTAAACCGCCCAAATGTCACCAGTACTAAATATATTATGTTTTCTTCAGAATTTTGTGTGCTATTTTTTTTTTTGGTGCCTGAAGTTTTTGCTTTCTTCCATACTTTCAGAAATGACATAAATGACCACCCCATTTTTTTAAGTTTAGTATAGTCCCAAAGCCCACACTTCAGAATTACCGATTTTAGATGGAAATAGCGTCTCGTCATCCAGCTGATCCTGAACCCAGGTCATAAGGTAATCGATGTACTTTGGTGCCGAGCACTTGATTGGCTTCTTTATGTTGGTCCCATCTGCCCAATGATATTCATACCTGGAATGGAAGGAAAGTGAAATAGGTTCCTTTTAATAGATAAATGTAGGCTCAACCATCCAGGCCAAAAGCAGGTAAAAAGCATGGCTTGGATGATTAACTCTAAATAATAATAATAATAATAATAATAATAATAATAATAATAATAATAATAATAATAATAATAATAATAATAATAATAATAATAATAAAAAAAAAGTTGGAAGGGACCTTGGAGGTCATCTAGTCCAACCCCCTGCTCAGGCAAGAAACCCTATATCGGGGTGTCAAACTCGCGACATATCGTGACTTTTTTTTCCATTTCCGGCAATCGGGTGGGCACGGCAATTTGACACCCCTGCTCTATACCATTCCAGACAAATGGCTGTCCAGTCTCTTCTTAAAAACTTCCAGTGTTGGAGCATTCACTGCTTCTGGAGGCAGGTTGTTCTACTGATTAATTGTTCTCACTGTCAGGAAGTTTCTCCTTAGTTCCAGGTTGCTTCTCTCCTTGATTACTTTCCATCCGTTGCTTCTTGTCCTGCCTTCAGGTGCTTTGGAGAATAGCTTGACTCCCTCTTCTTTGTGGCAGCCCCTCAGATATTGGAATACTGCTATCATGTTACCCTCATCCTTCTCTTCATTAGACTAGACATTCCCAATTCCAGCAACCGTTCCTTATATGTTTTAGCCTCCAGTCCCCTAATCATCTTTGTTGCTCTTCTCTGTACTCTTTCTAGGACAGGGGCAGGCAACCTTGGCTCTTTTATGACTCGTGGACTTCAACTCCCAGAATTCCTGAGCCAGCCATGCTGAAGGGAGAATTTCCAAACTGAGCCATGCTGGCTCAGGAATTCTGGGAGTTGAAGTCCACGAGTCATAAAAGAGCCAAGGTTGCCTACCGCTGTTCTAGAGTCTTAACATCTTGAGATATTGCACTTCATTTTCAGGAGAAACCCCTACAAGAATTAATTTGTCCCAACAGCTCTCTGACTCTCTGCCTAACCAAAAATTTTCATTTTGACTGAAGAAGTTACTTGGATGATTAACGAAACATCTGAATTTAATCAATTTTGGTCCAGTTGCCATGATTTAACCTTTTTACATAAGGTTCCTTTTAAATAACCATAGATCTCCACTGACATTGTCGTACTTTTAAGGGGGGGCTGGGATACGAGTGTTTGATTTCGGGTTTGATTTCTTCCTTTTAAAATAAGAATAAATTGCTCTCTTGAAGAGATGGAAGGCTGGGTGCTGTTCTGGCACAAAGAGTCTTGTTCCACCCCACCCACTCCCAGCAAATGTCAGGAGAGACAAAGACTACACAATATACACAAATATAGAACATCCTTGCCTGACATGCACACCACTTTTGAAGCCAAAAAATTTCAGGTTTCTCAGCCTTTAGTAGCAATGAAGAGCACAAAATGTTTTTTAGATTAGAATATATTTAGTATTATTATATGATAAAATGGTAAAAGGCTGATATTTGGTCTCGCCTGCCGTGTTTCCCGGAAAGTAAGACCTACCCCGAAAATAAACCATAGCTTGATTTTGGGGGGTAAGCCTAATATAAGCCCTACCCCAAAATAAGCCCTAGTTTTGGGGCGAGGCACACCTAAAAATCAAGCTAGGGCGAGGGTAGGGGTATGGATCTGTCTTATGTGCCCCACACCCACTTACCTTGCAGCAGGCCTCTCCTCGCTGGCCCACTTCTTATGCGGTGTCTTCTGCAGCCGGGCTTACATTTCTCAGTCACAGGCCTTTTTGGAAGGCCTCTGCAGCCAAGAACCGAGCTATGGATTGAATCCATAGCTCGGTTCTGGAAGACTTCTGCAGCTGAGAACCGAGCTATGGATTGAATCCATAGCTTGATTCTGGAAGACCTCTGCAGCTGAGGACCGAGCTATGAATTGAATCCATAGCTTGGTTCTGGAAGACCTGTGCAGCCGAGGACCGAGCTATGGATTGAATCCATAGATCGGTTCTGGAAGACTTCTGCAGCTGAGAACCGAGCCATGGATTGAATCCATAGCTCGGTTCTGGAAGACCTCTGCAGCCGAAGACCGAGCTATGGATTGAATCCACAGATCGATTCTGGAAGACCTCTGCAGCCGAGGACCGAGCTATGGATTGAATCCATAGCTCGGTTCTGAAAGACCTCTGCAGCTGAGGACCGAGCTATGAATTGAATCCATAGCTTGGTTCTGGAAGACCTGTGCAGCCGAGGACCGAGCTATGGATTGAATCCATAGCTTGGTTCTGGAAGACCTGTGCAGCCGAGGACCGAGCTATGGATTGAATCCATAGCTCAGTTCTGAAAGACCTCTGCAGCCGAGGACCGAGCTATGGGTCTTCCAGAACCGAGTTATGGGTTGAATCCATAGCTCAGTACTCGGCTTCATAGGCCTTCCGGAAAGGCCTGACTGCAAAATGCAGGCCCGAATGAAGCTGCCCCTTCAGCCACAGAAAAAGTGGACCGGCTGGGTGGGGCTGTCGGTGCCTGAGGTAAGATATGCCCCCGAAAATTAAACCTGGTGCCTCTTTTGGAGGGGGAAAAAAAAGACCCTGTCTTATTTCTGGGAAAACACGGGTATTTTGACTGCCACAAGTTAAGTACGGATGACATTTTTACTTTGGCCCTGCAGACATCACTGGACAGCTCTCCTCTGTGCAGAAGTCTGTAATTGTCCCATAAAGCATGTTGATCTGGTTAAAGAAGTCCACAGCTATCAAAGAAAAAAGAACATTCCATTTAGCAAGCAACTACTAACTAGGGGAAAAT